TGGCCCCCTGCCCTGGACTCCTGAGACCCCTGCCCCTCTTTAGGAATAACGGCTCTTTCTCACTTCTGTAAACTGCTTAATTGCTAGGCTGAGAGGACAAACTGCACTGGCCGCATTTTGACTAGTTGTTTCGGGCAAGCCTGGACCTGTCCAAGCATGTCGTAATCTCCACCTACTACCTCCACCCCAGAAGGCTATAGATCAAGCAAGCCCAGGCATATAGCAGTCTTATAAGGTAAGAACAGAGACTTCTGGCCTCACAGATAACAGTCAGCACATTCCATAGCTCTGAGGGTAGCACCTGCCAATAAGAAACCCCCAGGACTGCATCTCTTGTAACCAATCAATTCAAAAGTGTGTTGGTGCGCAGGGACTCCTCGGACCAATCAAGATGTAACTCTGTTATTCCCCTTCTGCCTTGGTCTAAAACCTATAAAAGGCTTCCTCCCCCTGTGATTGGTGCTCTCAGCACAGATCCATTGTGTTGGTGAGGTCTGAGAGCCCGAGCTTAAGCCCGAATAAAGACTCTTTGTTCTTGCATGCCCTCTGGAGTCTGTGGTTATTCTTGGGGGTCCATTCTTTGGGCACAACAAAAGGGACAAAGGAGTCAAGAGTATACTTGTGTGTGTGTGTACGCATGCACACACACGGACAGAGGCAGGGAGGGAGGGACAGAGAGAGAGAATGGTTGTAAATTAATATTCTGACAGTGAAGTGGGAAAAAAGAGAAAAAAATGCAGATTTTTAAGAAATTGAGAGTTTCAATCAGAAGATGAATGCAGGAGTTGGAGGGGGAGGAGGAAAGAGGTGACATGACCTTTGCTGATATGGAAGAGCCTTAGGAGTTTCCAAACCTGGGTACTTGGTACTTAAGATAATGGCATTCCACAGATTCTTATGATGTTTGTTTGTTTGCTTGTTTGTTTGTTTTGAGACAAGGCTCCCTGTGTAACTAATTGGTTCAATAAGTCTTGAATTCATGGAATTTCCTATGCTACCTCCCAAGTGCTGAGAATAGAGGTGTGGGCCACTACTTGAACTTGCATTCTTAAGGAATTTAAGACAGGCAGCTTCTTCATATGACAGTTATCAAGTACTTCAGACTGTGTTGCAAATCTGATCTGTTACTGTTATTTCTAAATCCCAACATAGGTAGTCTGTTCTTTAAAAAATATTTAACTCAGGTATTTTGAGTTTGGGAAGGAACATTTCGGTGGCCTTTAATTTTTTAAAGTGGCCCTACATTGTTCAGCTTTAAAGTACATGTTTTATAATTTGCCTTTAAAATGCTGTAAAAATGTTAAACAGTGTTCATTATCTTTTCAACTTCGTCCTTGCTCGTTTGGAAAAAAGAGGAAGTCGTGAGTGCTTACTGGCAAGAAGTTACACACACACACACACACACACACACACACCCGTAATTTGGGACGGGTTAAGTTAAAGCATGTCATCTGACTTCAAAGGCCCGGTGCTCAAAACTAAACATTTACATTTAGGATATTAATCTTTACCAGAAGAGCTTGCTCCCGCTCTTGAATTCCACCTTAAAACATCTGCAGTCAAGGAGACCAGCCCACATTTTAGCCCCTCCTACCAAGGGGAGAAGACTTTCTTGAAGTCTGAGCAGAGGAAGGATCCTGACTGACAGAAAGCTCCAGGCACCGCGAAGCCTGAGGATTCTCATTTAACTCTGGGAACTGTAAGCCTTAAAATCACTCTTCCCTGTTCGCTTCTCTCCTGCCTCCTTAGCTCTCGGTTTGTGGTACTTGGGAGAAGGAAGGACGCAGGGGAAACCTCTGCTTTTAGTCTGTAAGTCCTCTGCTTTAGAAAAGATGCACAGAGCAGGCTTCAGTTTTCTTCTGATTCACGCAGATTTGCTTTCTTGGGTCCAAAAGCACCTCGGAGTCAAAGGGATAAGTTACTTCCTTCAGTGGGTGCCCGGAAATTTAGCATTCAAAAGCGAAGTGTGGTGGCGCCTACTTGTGTTCCACGTGATGCCCAATGATTACTGATCCCTGGATTTGAGCAGCATGCTGTTTGACAGTAGAGGATTTACAGGGACAGTTTATTGGTTCATTTAAACTTTAAGGTAAAAAAGTCATTTTGGTTACTTATGCCAAGCATTCCAAGATATTTAACATGTTACGGTGTTATGTGAAAGAGAAAATACTGAAAAACCAAATGTGAACTGACAAGCTTTCCAATCCCTTGTCTTTCGGGTTACTTGGTGTGACAGGCGAACGACTCAAACCAGTTTCATGAAAAGATTTTATCAAGCTATATAGATAAGTTTTGAGTGTGAATACTATTTTAGTAATTTTCTTTCAAAGAAGTAAGGGGGGGAGGCGTTTGGTTTTGAAACAATAGTGGTGACTTAACCTATGTAAATCTCTTACAATTTATAGTGACTTTAGTATTTAAAATACATTTTCACTCCAAAATTAGTCAAGAAAGATGCTCCTGGCACTGGTTGATGTTTTAAACTTTCATTCCGTGAAAGCAGATGGAGAATTTCAGGCCACTTAGACTAGTTGCTGTTTCTAACATGTATTTGCAAACTGAATTTGAGGAAGGATTTGCATTTTGTTTCTGTTTGTTGCATAAATTTGAAAATGCAGCCAAAGAGATTCACAGGGAATTTAACAAAATAAACCTGCTGAAAGTCTTCAGATTATATCTCAGCTATGCTAGGAGCTAGTCAGCGATGTTGGAGCTTGTCTTTGTTTTCATTGAGCTCAGGAAGAGTTAAATTTTAAATGATTGTGAAATGCATAGTTTTTAATCTGCCTTTTCTCAAAGAAGTTGTACGAACTTCCTCTAAGGGACACATGTTTTATGGGACAAGACACTCTTTTTAACATTGCAAATTATTTTGTAAGTATTTCACATTTATTTTTAATTGGGAAGAAGAAAATGATGAAATAGTTTTCTTAGCACCTGACAGAGTTCATGTCACAGAAGTCATTCGGAGTGTCTCTTTGTCTTTCTAATGCTGCTACTTAGAAAGCAAAGTCATAAAATGGTTATTTACATATTAAAATATGTTCCAGGAATAAAAAGAGGAAGACAGTAAATAAGGCATGGTTCCTTAACCTCCTTTGTATTTATCATCATGCCTTCCACTCTCCCTCCCTCTTGCAGTGTTTCATTTCTTTTACTTTTTCCTTTCTTTTTGGTCACTATCTCCTTTGCAACCTTGTTGAGGGTCCTTGCAGAATAGTGAACACATGTTCTTCCAATGCACACAAATGTTTTGTTTGTTTATTTGTTTGTTTATTGAGACAATCTCTTATGTAGCCCTGGCTGGCTTGGAACTCTGTATGTAGACCAGGCTGTCCTCAAACTCACAGAAATCCACCTGCCTCTGCCTGAGTGCTGAAATGAAAGGTGTGTGCCAGCCACCATGCTGGACCCCAATGCACACAAGTTTGCAAACACCCTGAAGAAATTCACATGTCTCCAAAGGTAACTTATGCCACACTAAAATGGAGTATTTCTTAGAACTTTGGAGTTTTCTGCTAATATAGCAAAATTAAGTAGCAAACCATTTCATTTATAAGCAAGGGACTGCCTTGTTGTGAGCACTGCACAATGCCCAGATTGGTGCTTGCTCACTGATAGTTTGGAATTCTAAGCAATTTTGGAATTGGTGCAATGGAGAGAACCACCTGTCAAGAAAGCAAGTGATTGAGATTCTAGACTCAACCTCAATAGTAGTCAACCATATACTATTAGGATTGTAATTTTTCTGTAGAGAATAGATCCAAGTTTTTGATTGGACTGTGAAGTATTTGTATTTTCTACTTTTATTCCAACATTCCCAGTGATATTTCCCAGAATCTGCAAGGTTTTTTCATATTATTACTTATTACAAAGATAAATCATACTCATGGCTTAAATTTTGTTAAGTACAGAAAATTACAAAGAACAAAAGGAAAAATATGTATATTCTTCCCTAAGGGGTTAGTTACTTTTAAAATGCCATTCATCCACTTATTTGATCATTGAATAGTTGTTGATTGTCTAGTATACATTAGCACAAAGAAAAAGAATTTATGTATTAGCATTTATTTATCCTTTTATGCATTTTTCTTTATACACTCATTTATAGATTTACAAAGTTGTGATTTCAGTATTCATACTGTTTTCTATGCTGCCTTCCCTTGACTTATAAACTTCTGTAAAAACATTTTTTATAATTATGTACTAGTCTATATTCATCTGTATTTTCAACAAATATTATTGAGTCTGTCACCATATAGGTGATGGTACTCCATCTGTCAACTAGAGAGTATGGCTCTTACCATAAACTGTCTTTAGTCTATGGATACACTGAATCAACAAGTCCTAAATTATTGAATTATGTAGGTTGATTATAATTTTCTATCATCATAAATAATATTTAATCTAGAACCATCATATAAATGTTTGTATGCTTCACTAGAATACAGTCTTGAAAGTGCATTTTCCAGTTTTTTGTTTTTTTTTTCCTTTTTTTTCGAGACAGGATCTCCCTATAGCACTAGCTGGTCTGGAACTCACTATATAGACAAGGTTGGCCTTGAACTCACAGAGATACGCCTGCCTCTGGTTCCCGAGTGCTTGGACTAAAGGTGTGCGCCACCATACCCAGCTCCTTTTCCAGGTTTTAACAAAAATCCCACTACTTTCAAGTGGTGAGGGCATAAACTAATGACGTTATTTCTTTATATTGTTTTTCAACTTTAATATAGGAATACTAATAATTGAGTATATTAAGGATTCTCAAAATATTTAACAAAATGTCATAGAATGCAAGGCATTCTTTTTTACATTTTGCTTTTGAGAAAAATCATATCCATTTGTAAGCAGCTTAAGGCAGTAGAATTTACCTAAGGTAACCCTGAACATTATGATCATAGAGAGTAAACAGCAAATCCAGTCACTTAGACAACTGTTATATGAAAGTAATATTTTCCTTAAAACTGCATATCTTTCTTAAATAAATATGGAAAATGGGGCTGGAGAGATGACAATGGTTAAGGGCACTGGCTGTTCTTGCAGAAGACCTAGGTTTGGTTCCCAGCACCTATATGGCAGCTAATAACTGTCTGTATCTCCAGTGCCAGGGAATCCAACGTCCTCTTCTGGCTTCTGCCAGCGTTATACAACAGGGGTGCACATACATGTAAGAAAACCACTCATAAACATAAAACAAAAATAAATAAATCAAAAAATGAAAAAACAGTAAGTTTAGAAAATGTTCAGAGTATTTATCTAGACGTTTGAACCTTTCAGTATGACTTAAAAATTTCTCAACTTTAACTTTAATATAACAAATATTAACGATTATAGTTGACATAATCAGAGGTTCTTTTGGAATCCCCCCAAAGATTTTAGAAAACCCCAAGGGTCTCAGCAGTGTAGGTGACATTTTAGGGTATAAATAGAAATCCTATAAAAACATCATCTTTCTCATCTTTTGGAGGGTTAGTTTCAGTGTTTCTTGGAACTTTCTTAACAATGGATGAGAACACGTAAGAATATGGAAGCAAGCCATGTCTCCTAGACTTATAATCTCCAAAAATTGGGGAAATGAGAGAGTTTAGAGAAGACGGTCAAAACGTCTATAGAATGACCCACAACTTTGGGGATACCCAAGTTTGCTTAATGTAGAAGAAAATGGAGTTAAGGCCAACGGTTGCTTATGTGGTGACTGTTAATGTTAATAAAAACTTTTGTAAGAAAAAAACTGCCCACATTTGTCAATAATGAACTTCAAGAGAAAGAGCTTAAGCTTTGACCAACTTCATCTTCTATCTCGTGACTGTTGGGGGAACCCAGAGTGATTCTGGAGTTCTTTCCACAGAAGACAGTAGGTAGAGAAGGTGGTGTTCTTCAGATGTGTTGATACCATTATGTGTGTGTGTGGGGGGGGGTTGTACCATATTTTGCTGCTCTAGCTATGTAGGCCTCAGTTTTGTTTTTTAAAACTCTGTGATCCTTAATTTACTCATAACAATTTTTGAAAATACGATTTCCTTCTCTTCAAAAATAAATGTAAATAATGCTGACAACCAGTTTTGAAAAGCTGCACTACCTGTCTCTAATCACTCATTTAATGAATTCAAATGCCTTTAGAGAAACTCAACCAGCGCCTGTGAGTGAACTGGAATCAAAGATAATAGACACGTAGTTCTAGTTTTTACTTAGCACCTGCTCCTTAGCACTGACTCACTGGCTTCCAGCTCCTCTGTCTTCGTACTCCTTTGTTTGACTTTTGGAATCTGCACGCACATTTCGGTATTTTAGGTAACAGTATGTTTTGATTTACAAAACTAATGTGCCTAGCAAGTTATACTTTTTTGGGGGTGTATCTTTTTGAGAAAGGGTCTCCTTGTAGCCCCAGCTGGTATGAGACTCAACTCTGTAGACCAGGCTGGCCTTGAGCTCACAGACATCTGCCTGCCTCTGTCTCTGAGGTGCTGGGATTAAAGGCGTGTGCCACCATGCCTGGCTAAAGTTATACTTTGTTATTTGTTTTCTTACTATTTAATTTATGAGCTGTTTTCTGATTCTCTAGTTTGAAATATATGAGTGCTATTATTTTCTTCTATTTATGTAGCACCATATGAGTTCTAAAGACTGCTTAAGAACTTCATTCATGGGCTGGAGAGATGGTTCAGTGGTTAAGAACACTTGCTGTTCTTCCAGAGGATC